GTGGAAGAGAACGAAGACATATGTCCACATTGCTAGTTCTATTTCCCTCCTTTTGTGACTGTTGATCAAGGTCAGTTGATACTTTCTGACAAATATTGCATTACTCTTTGTTATATAGAACAGAATATCATATGCATTATTGTAATGGTTGACAGACCCTGAGAGTCTTTCTTTGATTGATTCTGCCTATTCCTGGAGGGTTTCTCGAGTCTCACTAAACATATAATTTTCATAGTCATAGTAGAAGAATCAATGTTATTTTAGTAGGAGTCTAACATCTGTACTGCTCAAATCTTGTTATCATGCCATGCTTAGAATATGGTCATTTGCATTGGGAAGGGAGAAGTGTAGTAAGGCCCCTTAGTATGTATCAAAGAAAGATATTTGTTTTTACTACTACAAGACAATTATGTGTCGAGTACTTTTGTAAATGTGAACAGAAGTATGGGTAGCGAAATTTATGAACTAGATTTTCTCAAATTTGTATTAAGTAATTATTTGAAAGAGACATGGATCATATTACCCATTGAACTATGTTGAAGAGACAGAGCAAGTGGGTTCTTTTCTTTTTTTTGTCTTTTGATAAAGAAAAAGTAGTTTGCCTGACTCAAATTCACCTATAAGTTGTATTAGCAATTTCCAATAATACAAATTATCGAAGAATTGATTGAGACTATGCTTTCTTGATATATATTTATACTCTGATCCTTGTGAGACAGGGAAGCTAGAGTAAGAGAGCTAGTGCAAGTTGTACTTAGACTTGTCGGCAGAATTGGCACTTGAAAAGGTTAGCAGCGCTGTTGATGACAGAAGAACGCTTCTTGACGACTGCTTTCACCAAGTTGTATCCTCGGTATTGTTGTTTATAAAAGGTTAAGGTAGGAATTTTGTCCGTCCTCCATATTTTGGTGTTCTATTTTATTTATTAGTTTGTACATTTAGGAAAAAGTATTCTGTTGTATTCATAAATTACTTCGGTGACAAATTCGTGATTACGAGTGCGTGCCAATTTTGATTCTTCTAATGCCACACTTGTGTAAAAACATGTAGAATGCCCATTAATTTACAATGAAAGACATCTTTGAATTTTTACTGTTGAATATTGCACAGAACTTTATGAATTGATAAAACAAGTTTGAAGTTCAGATTTGCTTCGCCATTGAGTACTGAGTTCTGGTCATTGTTTTAAAAACTGGACCGAGGGTAACCCGTTCTGATGGTCGGTCCGGTTCAACCGGTCCAACCATTGGACCGTCGGTTGAATCGATAGTTTGACAGGTTTAAAATCTATAAAAACACCTCTGATAAATAACATCAACCATATAGTTTGAAATCTAGCAAACAACCCTGGTCAATGCAAATCGGCGATCGATTGGGAAGTAGCACACACCAGGGGTAGATCGGATGATGGGGAGGTGAATCGGCAGTTAGCAAGTAAGGCATCGTCGGAGAATGGCAGATCGGTGGTGGAAGTCAATGGTCCAGCGTGGCTTTTTCGGTGAGATGACTGGATCTTCGTGAATACCAGGACTTGGGAGAAGGTAGGTCAGTGGCTAGGAAGCCTGTCGATGCCGGAGAAGGCTGATCGATGCCGGGAAATGGAAGAAAAATCACGCAGCAGGTAGACGACGAAACGTCATGCGACGGTTGGAGATGAAGCGTGACAGCTTCGGAGAAGTCGAACTCAGAAGGTGGTTTCCGACAGTAAGGGAGGTGAAGGTCGCTGGAAAAGGGAGATCATTGCCGATTTGTATTTGGCCAGAGAGTGTGTTTGCTAGATTTGAAACCTTCAGGGACTGATGTAATAATCAGGGGTATATTGTTATATTTAAACTTCAAACAATTAAAAGAGTGACCCAACCCGGAGAAGGCCCAGGTCCCGGTCCACGCTTGGATCGTCGATCTGATCGGTTTTTAAAACAATGGTTCTGGTTTCTGCCAAACCCTTCATGGATGTACTTTGAATTATCTATAATGTCACGGAAGTGTAAAAAGCGTGCAAGTTGTGATGATCTAGGTATCCATTGTTCAAAATTAGTAATCAGCAGCGCCCAATTCAGCGTAGCTACCATTTACCAGAACTGTTACGACTAATGTATTCCAACAAAGCAGGAATATATTTAAACCCGTAGACAGTCTCAGGTAAAACCAGATTAAGATTTGGAAAGAACCCTGTACTCATCTCATTTTAGAACATTCCTCAATGGTAATCGTCAACTTCCCCAAACCTAAACCAAGTACAAATGTACTAATATTGTACCAATATATTATCTAAGAGACTCGGATTGTTTTGTAATGTCAGCAACTATGGGTTAATATGGACAAACTGGTCTGGCTGAGGTGCAATTATTTAGATGTACTTGGCAACAAAGTTTTTTTGACATTGATATTCACGATTCATGGGCCCAAAAATCCACAAAAAAAATTAAATTGATTTATTGAAATTTACTGATCACTAAATGTCACGCAGACACAAGGTTGATGATTGATTACAAGTCCCTGAAAAAAAAAAGAAAAAAAGAAAAAAACTTTTAGTATTGCTAGATGTATGGACCCTTATCTATCTTCGGTTGAGGTTCTTCTGGTCACATCAACAAGGGCCTTTTCCCCGCCCAACCGAAAATATGCAAGTATTGGACTTGAAAAGAGTAACAAGATCTGCACAAGAACTTGAATGCGAAGGAAATCCTGTTAAAGATCCTCCTTTGAGTGAAAACATGAACCCAAAAAAGGATCTAAATATGGTTATTAAACTACATACTCTCAGAATAAAGAAACACGATTTCATAATAACAAGGTTAACTCCTAAAACACACAATTTTTTTTTTTTTTTTTCATCCTGTTAAAAAGAACTCTTACCTAAGAAGTGAAGAAGGTTTGGCTATTGCTAGGAACGGCCAGGAAAGCTGAGAGCGCCTCAGAATTGAGATTCCATGGACAAGAATTTTAAATTGTTAGATTTTTCGGCTGAATAAAAGTTTATCATATTTCCCTTCTTCTAACGGATTTCACTAATAGTTCTTCACGGAAATGGGTAATTGTCATTTTCAAACTTTTTTAGTAAATTAACGTTACGACAAACTTGGGTAATTAATATGGGGCATTACCATATCTAATAGATCTTTGGAATTTTTAGCAATTTCAATTGTTTGAGAGAATAAGAAAAAAAGTGAGGAAAATGAGAGAATAATATGAAAAAAAAAAAAAAAAAAATTAGATATGTTTTGTAGTTGGGTCAGGCCCATTTAATATACCCACATTATTAAACCCAATTTCAACTCCTATAGAACTTTAAAGAATTTTAGATCTTAATTAAAAAATTGTTATTCATATTGATTCGATAATGTTATCATATCAATATCTTAACATTAAGATGAATGTATGATTATATTATTATTCTCTTATAGGTGATAATTTAGTTAATTTACTAATGCTTTTTTTTTTTTTTCTTTTTGTTATATTTCGTACTGTTATATATATTATTGGTTTCTGTACTTGCTAGAAATGTGTTTGTGTTTGTATAAGTTATTGATTGTTCTCTTATTCTTAGTGACAATTAATTCTTGTATGAATGTTTTTCTTTAATAATATTACATAAAAAAATAATAATATTCTAAACATCTTGTCTCCATAAGACTATAAAATAGAAGCACCTAATTTTCCATTCTTAAAAAAAGAAAAAAAAAGGAGTAAGCGATTTTTTCTCACCCAAATAATACTTAATGACACTTTTCTACTCATAGACTTTTAAATTACCATTTTACTACTCAAATTTATAGTCCGTTTCCGATTCCGGTATCGTTGTGACCCCACACCACCACCATTCTGTCGCCGATCATCCCTCACCAAAACCCTTCAAGCCCTATCCCACTGCCCCACTAATTGCCGGCAATCGAACGATTAAGGTTTGCCCAACCACCTTCCCAAGTTAAAGTTTGTTCAATCCCAACACCAAAATCTAACTTTCTACTACCCAAAGACTCATTGACTTTCCCTCTTCAAAAGCCCAATAGCCTAGACTTAGTTTGCTCTTTGTTCGTCATTAGAATATAATTTAGGTGATAAAGTGGTTTCTAAAAGTCTGTAGGTGGAAAGTGCCATTAAACTATTATTTGGGTGGAAAGTCGTCAACTAAAAAAAAAAAAATTCAAATTGTTAAAAGCAATACTACACTTAAAACCTATCTTAGCTATCACATCAAGATTATAGAAAAAGTTTGTAAGATTTGGTTGTAAGCTAATCTTTATTAATGTTAATAGTTGATGGGCCTAATTTCCACTATGTGGCTATATCCTTTGGACCCAAGATCCAATCTATTGTAAAGAAAGCCCATCTCTTGACAAGGTCTCTAGATTTATCAAATATCAAATATTACCAAAGGCTTAGTTAAGAAAATGTTGTGTAAAGGAATAAATCAAAAATATTTCTAGTGGGATGATTTAAATTAAAGGTCCATATTTATAATAAATTATAATATCCCCTCTTATTACCTTTTCAACAATCTCACCTACCACCCTTCACACCTCTCATTTAACAAAAAAAAAACCATAGTTATCCTTTAATAATATATTATTACGATAATACAAAAAAAAAAAAAAAAATAAAAATTTATGTTCATTGAAGTTTGTCACCATCCATAAATTCTGTCTCTTTTTCTTTTTTCTTTTTATGGTTCCACTAGATTCAACTACAGTATCACAAGCAACATCTGATTGGTTTCCATCACTGTTGACTTTTACTGATCTTAATTTTTTTTAGAATTTGTATTTTTAACGTTATATTGTTAGATAAGTTGAGAAAATAATATTATTCTTATAAATATATTGTTTGTGTATATGTAAATGTTAATATATATGTTATATTATTGATAGATAAATCAACAAATTTTAATTTTAAAGAAATTATATATATCTTGTAAATAAAAATTCAGGTCTAAAAAAAAAAGAGTAAACCATAATTATACAAATCTTTTCATAGTTAATAAAGAGTAAAAATACATCACACTGCTCAGAAACAGTGGGATGAGACACTTGTCCTCGTCCTTGGTGGAATAGCACGTTTGTTACGGTCTTTCTTTCCTTTTCTTAGAAACTTAGACAACTTCTGGTCAGGTAGGCCTTAAATTGAATATCGATGTGTCTAAGCTTTTTTTCTTCCATCAATTATATCATTTATTTTTCTCATCAATCTCTACTTACATCATTTAATGTACTTGGTGCAGGATGGGAATCTTTACTTCTTTTTGTTAAAAAAAGCATTGTAAATGGTAGTAAAGAAGTTTCTCTTGCGGCAATAAATTGTCTACAGACAACTGTTCTTTCTCATTCTGCCAAGGTAATCTCCACACCTTGCCTTGACTAGAATAATAGCTGATTTTTCTCTGCCAGAGTAATATGTGTTTGATTACACGTAGACTACTTAAATTGCTTATTGCAGTAAACTCATTGGATTACCTTTAATCAATACTTAACATGTTTAGTTCATTAGATATTTTCTAACTTGTAAAATAATTTTAATGCATCAGGGAAATTTGCCAATGGCTTACCTCAATTCAGTACTTGGTGTTTATGAGTTTGCTCTTCAGAAGTCACCATACTGCAGCGATAATACAGCTACCAAGGTGAAGCAGGAGATTTTGCATGATCTAGGTAATGTATTATTTCAAGATAGGTCAGTTTAGGAGGTTTCAAGTGGCTCTACATATTAAACATGATTATGTTAATACGGTGAAACTGGGATTTGGATAGCAATATTCCATATCTTGTTATAATTGGTGGAAGTTGACATTTATCACATTCCTTGGTCAGTCTATGATGTAATTGATGAAACACTAATCAACATTGTTGAGTATAGTACTGCTTTTTTGAACCTCTTTCATGGCATAATTATGTTTTTTTTGTTTCTGTTTGAACTGCCAGGAGAACTATATGTACAAGCTCAAAGGATGTTTGATAATAACATGTACACACAGTTGCTAGCAATCATTGATTTGGCTGTCAAGCAGACAATGATAACCAACGAAAATTATGAAACTGAATTTGTAAGTTAAAAATCAAACTACCTTTCTTTTGCCTTTCTAATTTCTTTTTTTTTTCCTTAAAAAAAAAAAAAAAACAAAAAAACAAAAATAGAAATCTACATTTGGTACTGACCACTGCTTATTTTCCATTTTCTTAATTACCAACCATTACTAGATACTTAATTGAGAATTTTTATGCTTTATACATAAAAACAGAGAAAGCATATGACATTTTTTTTAATAGTTAGCTTAGTTTATTTAAGGAATACCCAAACGATGTCGAATTTAACAAATATATGCGGGCAAAGGTGGTTGATAAGCATGAACTGACAGCCTTTATTGAAATAAGAGCTGTTGCACATTAGCTTAATTTCCTTGGAATTGCTGGGGGCCTACTAAGTTTTCATAAACACTCATTTCACTCCTTTTGTATTATAGTTTTTGAGGTAATGAGATTATTATACATCTTTGCCAGAATTATGGAAGGTTTACGTTTTGTTTTTCCTGTTGAAACTGCACTGCAATCATGATAATTATTTTTAAGATAAGAGAAATTGTGATAATGATTATTTTATGGAAATAAAATCCGTGTCTTCATCTTTTCCTTCTCCTCTTTTTGGGTTAAGGAAACTTGTTTGACAATCTGTATAGATTAAGTTCATTCACATAATTTCTGTTTCTTTTCTATAGGGAAATGTTCCACCAGTACTACGTACTATACTAGAAATTTTTCCTCTTCTAAGTCCAACCGAGCAACTTTCTTCAATGTGGCTCGTCCTTCTTAGGGAACTTTTGCAATATCTTCCAAAATCTGATTCTCCTCTTCAAAATAAGGAAAATGAGGCAGAGCAACCTGGCACTGGTGACAATATTCCAGGTATACAAATGCCTTTGTATATGTTCACTCAACTTCTGGTTTTACCTTCAAAACGTGTGAAACTTGATATTTTTATACTGTTTCTATAGATGTTCATGCGAGGACAAAGTATGATGCACCTAATGGTAATGCTCAAATCTCCCCAAACAATGCTCAAGCTTCATGTAGGAGTTCTGAATTGACTTCAACTGCAATGGAAGGCATTCGAAGCCACTTGTTTGCAGAAAAGCTTATTCCTGTGCTGGTTGATCTTTTCCTACGGGCCCCTGCAGTTGAAAAGTGTATCATATTTCCAGAAATTGTTCAAAGCCTTGGAAGGTATGGATTAGTCCATTCTTTGAGGGTAAAATATGTCCATTGCAACTATAATGTCTATAATATAATCAGCTTCTGAGAAGGTATGAAAATATTTCGCATATTAGTAGGGTGATTATTTGGGAAAATGCTCAAAATGTTCTATTTGGCATGTGGTTAAGATTCTGGAAAGAATTAGTTATATGCTGCAGTTCACATACAGTAAGAATTAACCAACCCCACAGGACGGGGCAAGGGGGTGGGTTGTCTGACATCTTTTAGAAACAGCATGTATTATTTTTTCATGTGTGGTGGAACATATAGTTATCTAGTGGATAGGTTGTGGATGAATGATGAGAGCTTCTGTCCTTGATAGCAATTACCGCATTGTATATAATGTATTGTGGACAGTTTAATGTACAATAGACTTTGATTTTAGGTAATCAAGAGGAAAAACAGAGTTATGATGCACATGATTATCATCAGTGCATTCTTATTATAAGACTTTGAAACTATTTACACCATTTAGTGACATGGTCAAGCTAATTATCTAGGTGTATGACAACAAGAAGAGACAATCCAGATAGTTCATTGTGGAGATTGGCTGTTGAAGGCTTCAACTGTATTCTTGTGAATGATGTTTGTAAATTCACTGTCAACTGTGGACAAGACTTAAAAGTTAGTAGACCAGCAAGATTGTGTGTTTGGAAAGAAATTGCAGATGTCTATGAAATATTCTTGGTGGGTCATTGTGGCCGTGCTCTTCCTTCCAATTCTCTCTCTGCTGAGGCTCTTAAGGCTGATGAATCCCTGGAGATGTCCATATTAGACATTCTGGGTGATAAGGTTCTCAAGTCACCAATTGATGCACCTTTTGATGTAAGCCATCTACTAATCTGACTAAACTAGTGTCTCTTGCCCCATAACTATCCATTTTATTATTTTTCTAATTGCGTTAATAATTACAGATTCTGCAAAGGCTTGTTTCCACCATAGACCGATGTGCATCACGGACATGCTCTTTGCCTATTGAGACCGTGGAAGTTATGCCTGTCCATTGTAGCAAATTTTCCTTGACATGCTTACAGAAGTTATTTTCCTTGAGCAGGTAACTAAAATTGCATGTTGTGACTTGGATCCAAATCCACACATTCCTAGTCCTAACATTTATAATGGTGTACCCTATGATTACTATTTTTTTGTATGGCAAGAGTGAGGATAACATGACCAAATTCTTATCTATTTCAAGGAAACCTGAGGGCAACTATTGCTACTAATGTTTTAGCTATCAGGAGAGATGCAACTAGTATAAGTAGTTGTAAATAATGCTAAAACTAGGAATTATGTTCATGTACCAACTCTTAAGTTCACATGGAGAATATGATTAAATATGTGTGAACATGCAATCATCTTTCATGCTTTTTGAATGTCCTAATGTGCATACTTCTGTAATGAATTCACATCTTTAGTTTCCTACAAACAACTATACACACAATGTAATTATTCCGAAGATTTGACATATTGTTGATTTGTTTTCAGTTTCGACGATGAAGCTAATGATTGGAACTTGACAAGAGCTGAAGTCAGCAAAATCTCAATAATGGTACTAATGAGTAGATGTGAATACATCTTAAACAAATTTCTAGCTGATGAGAATGACTTGGGTATGTGGTTTTTGTATTCTACAAATAAATCATCAATATATTGATGTAATCTTTAAGTTCATTTCAGCTCCAATGATATCATTTATTATCTCCCTGCCTACTCCTGCAGGTGAACGTCAACTACCGGCGGCAAGGCTTGAAGAAATAATTTATGTCCTTCAGGAATTGGCTCGCTTAAAAATTCATTTGGATACTGCATCTATCCTGCCTTTACATCCCTTGTTGAAAGGTGGTCTAGGAGTGGAAGAGAACGAAGACATATGTCCACATTTGCTAGTTCTATTTCCCTCCTTTTGTGAGCTCGTTGTATCAAGGTCAGTTGATAACATTTCTGACAAATAATTGCATTACTCTTTGTTATATAGAACAGAATATCATATGCATTATTGTAATGGTTGACAGACCCTGAGAGTCATTTCTTTGATTGATTCTGCCTATTCCTGGAGGGTTTTCTCGAGTCTCACTAAAACATATAATTTTCATAGTCATAGTAGAAGAATCAATGTTATTTTAGTATGAGTTTAACATCTGTACTGCTCAAATCTTTGTTATCATGCCATGCTTAAGAATATGGTCATTTGCATTGGGAAGGGGAGAGTGTAGTAAGGCCCCTTAGTGTATGTATCAAAGAAAGATATTTGTTTTTACTACTACGACTAAGACAAATTATGTGTCGAGTAACTTTTGTAAATGTGAAACAGAAAGTATAGGTAGCGAAATTTAATGAACTAGATTTTCTCAAAATTTGTATTAAGTAATTATTTGAAAGGAAGACATGGATTCATATTACCCATTGAACTATGTTGAAGGAGACAGAGCAAGTGGGTTCTTTTTCTTTTTTTGTCTTTTGATAAAGAAAAAAAGTAGTTTGCCTGACTCAAAATTCACCTATAAGTTGTACTAGGCAATTTCTCAATAAATACAAATTATCGAAGAAGTGATGTGAGACTATGCTTTCTTGATATATATTTATACTCTGATCCTTGTGAGACAGGGAAGCTAGAGTAAGAGAGCTAGTGCAAGTTGTACTTAGACTTGTCGGCAGAGAATTGGCACTTGAAAAGGTTAGCACGGCTGTTGGTGTACAGAAGAACGCTTCTTGACGACTGCTTTCACCAAGTTGTATCCTCGGTATTGTTGTTTATAAAAGGTTAAGGTGAGGAATTTTGTCCGTCCTCCATATTTTGGTGTTCTATTATTATTTATTAGTTTGTACATTTTAGGAAAAAGTATTCTGTTGTATTCATAAATTACTTCGGGGTGACAAATTCGTGAATTACGAGTGCGTGCCAATTTTGATTCTTCTAATGCCACACTTGGGTGTAAAAACATGTAGAAAATGGCCATTAATTTACAATGAAAGACATTCTTGAATTTTTACTGTTGAATATTGCACAGAACTTTATGAATTGATAAAACAAGTTTGAAGTTCAGATTTGCTTCGCCATTGAAGTACTGAGTTCTGGTCATTGTTTTAAAAACTGGACCGGAGGGTAACCCGTTCTGATGGTCGGGTCACGGTTCAACCGGTCCAACCAGTTGGACCGTCGGTTGAATCGATAGTTTGACAGGTTTAAAATCTAATAAAAACACCTCTGATAAATAACATCAGACCATATAGGTTTGAAATCTAGCAAACACAACCCTGGTCAAATGCAAATCGGCGATCGATTGGGAGAGTAGCGGCGACACACCAGGGAGGGTAGATCGGATGATGGGGAGGGTGAATCGGCAGTTAGCAAGTAGAGGCATCGTCGGAGAATGGCAGATCGGTGGTGGAAGTCAATGGTCGCAGTGGCTTTCTTCGGTGAGATGACTGGATCTTCGTGAATGACGGCAAGGGAGCTTGGGAGAAGGTAGGTCAGTGGCTGAGGAAGCCTGTCGATGCCGGAGAAGGCTGATCGATGCCGGGAAATGGAAGAAAAATCACGCAGCGAAGGTAGACGACGAAACGTCATGCGACGGTTGGAGATGAAGCGTGACAGCGTCGGAGAAAGTCAGAACTCAGAAGGTGGTTTCCGACAGTAAGGGAAGGTGGAAGGTCGCTGGAAAAGGGGAGATCATTGCCGATTTGTATTTGGCCAGAGAGTGTGTTTGCTAGATTTGAAACCTTCAGGGACTGATGGTAATAATCAGGGGTATATTTGTTATATTTTAAACTTCAAACAATTAAAAAGAGTGACCCAACCCGGAGAAGGCTCCAGGTCCCGGTCCAACCGATTGGATCGGTCGATCTGATCCGGTTTTTAAAACAATGGTTCTGGTTTCTGCCAAAGCCCTTCATGGATGTACTTGTTGAATTATCTATAAATGTCACGGAAGTGTAAAAAGCGTGCAAGTTGTGATGATCTAGGTATCATCCATTGTTCAAAATTAGATAATCTGGCAGCGCCGTATTCAGGCGTAGCTATCATTTACCAGGAACCGTTACGACTAATGTATTCCAACAAATGCAGGAATAATATTTAAACCCGTAGACAGTCTCAGGTAAAAACCAGATTAAGATTTGGAAAGAACCCTGTACTCATCTCATTTTAGAACATTCCTCAATGGTAATCGTCAACTACCCCAAACCTAAACCAAGTACAAATGTTACTAATATTGTACCAATATATTATCTAAGAGACTCGGATTGTTTTGTAATGTCAGCAACTATGGGTTAATATGGACAAACTGGTCTGGCTGAGGTGCAATTATTTAGATGTACTTGGCAACAAAGTTTTTTGACATTGATATTCACGATTCATGGGCCGCAAAAAATCCAACAAAAAAAATTAAATTGATTTATTGAAATTTACTGATCAATAACAATGTCACGCAGACACAAGGTTGATGATTGATTACAAAGTCCCTGAAAAAAAAAAAGAAAAAAAGAAAAAAACTTTTTAGTATTGCTAAGATGTATGGAAACTTATCTATGTTCGGTTGAGGTTCTTCTGGTCACATCAACAAGGGCCTTTTCCCCGCCCCAACCAGAAAATATGCAAGTATTTGACTTGAAAAGAGTAACAAGATCTGCACAAGAACTTGAATGCGAAGGAAATCCTGTTAAAGAATCCTCCATTTGAGTGAACAACATGAACCCAAAAAAGGATCTAAATATGGATTATTAAACTACATACTCTCAGAATAAAGAAACACGATTTCATAATAACAAGGTTAACTCCTAAAACACACAATTTTTTTTTTTTTTTTTCATCCTGTTAAAGAAACTCTTACCTAAGAAGTGAAGAAGGTTTGGCTATTGCTAGGAACGGCCAGGAAAAGCTGAGAGCGACTCAGAAATATGATTCCATGGACAAGAATTTTAAATTGTTAAGATTTTTCGGCTGAATAAAAGTTTACCATATTTTCCTTCTTCTAACGGATTTCACTAATAGTTCTTCACGGAAAGTGGGTAATTGTCATTTTCAAACTTTTTTAGTAGTAAATTAACGTTACGACAAACTTTGAGTAATTAATATGGGGCATTACCATATCATTAATAGATCTTTGGAATTTTATGTAGCAATTTCAATGTTTGGTGTGAGAGAATAAGAAAAAAAGTGAGGAAAAATGAGAGAATAATATGAAAAAAAAAAAAAAAAAAAATTAGATATGTTTTGTAGTTGGGTCAGGCCCATTTAATATAGCCCACATTATTTAAACCCAATTTCAACTCCTATAGTAACTTTAAAAGAATTTTAGATCTATAATTAAAATAATTGTTATTCATATTGATTCGATAATGTTATCATATCAATATCTTAACATTAAGATGAAATGGTATGATTAATATTAATTTATTCTCTTATAGGTGATAATTTAGTTAATTTACTAATGCTTTTTTTTTTTTTTCTTTTTGTTATATTTCGTACTGTTATATATATTATTGGTTTCTGTACTTGCTAGAAAATGTGTTTGTGTTTGTATAAGTTATGTGATTGTGTTCTCTTATTCTTAGTGACAATTAATTCTTGTATGAATGTTTTTCTTTAATAATATTACATAAAAAATAATAATATTCTAAACATCTTGTCTGCCATAAGACTATAAAATAGAAGCACCATAATTTTCCATTCTTAAAAAAAGAAAAAGAAAAAGGAGTAAGCGATTTTTTCTCACCCAAATAATAGCTTAATGACACTTTTCTACTCATAGACTTTTAAATTCACCATTTACTACTCAAATTTATAGTCCGTTTCCGATTCCGGTATCGTTGTGACCCCACACCACCACCATTCTGTTCGCCGATCATCCCTCACCAAAACCCTTCAAGCCCTATCCCACTGCCCCACTAATTGCCGGCAATCGAACGATTAAGGTTTGCCCAACCACCCTTCCCAAGTTAAAGTTTGTTCAATCCCAACACCAAAAATCTAACTTTCTACTACCCAAAGACTCATTGACTTTCCCTCTTCAAAAGCCCAATAGCCTAGACTTAGTTTGCTCTTTGTTCGTCATTAGAATATAATTTAGGTGATAAAGTGGTTTCTAAAAGTCTGTAGGTGGAAAGTGCCATTAAACTATTATTTGGGTGGGAAAAGTCGTCAACTAAAAAAAAAAAAATTCAAATTGTTAAAAGCAATACTACACTTAAAACCTATCTTGCTATCACATCAAGATTATAGAAAAAGTTTGTAAGATTTGGTTGTAAGCTAATCTTTATTAATTGTTAATAGTTGATGGGCCTAATTTCCACTATGTGGCTATATCCTTTGGACCCAAGATCCAATCTATTGTAAAGAAAGCCCATCTCTTGACAAGGTCTCTAGATTTATCAAATATCAAATATTACCAAAGGCTTAGTTAAGAAAATGTTGTGTAAAGGAATAAATCAAAAATATTTCTAGTGGGATGATTTAAATTAAAGGTCCATATTTATAATAAATTATAATATCCCCTCTTATTACCTTTTCAACAATCTCACCTACCACCCTTCACACCTCTCATTTAAACAAAAAAAAACCATGAGTTATCCTTTAATAATATATTATTACGATAATACAAAAAAAAAAAAAAAAATAAAAATTTATGTTCATTGAAGTTTGTCACCATCCATAAATTCTGTCTCTTTTTCTTTTTTCTTTTTATGGTTCCACTAGATTCACTACAGTATCACAAGCAACATCTGATTGGTTTCCATCACTGTTGACTTTTACTGATCTTAATTTTTTTTTAGGAATTTGTATTTTTAACGTTATATTGTTAGATAAGTTGAGAAAATAATATCTATTCTTATAAATATATTTTTGTGTATATGTAAATGTTAATATATATGTTATATTATTGATAGATAAATCAACAAATTTTAATTTTAAAGAAATTATATATATCTTGTAATAAAAATATCAGGTCTAAAAAAAAAAGAGTAAACCATAATTATACAAATCTTTTCATAGTTAATAAGAGTAAAAATACATTGCAAACACTCCACTCCTTCATAAAACAATAAACAAGATCATGAGACCAACATCTTGAAATGGACACACCAAAAATAATCATTACACACGGAATTAATGAAACGACATTTTATTGATGAGAAGGATACCTATTTTTGACTCTTAGCACTTTGCTTTGTAATAATTGAAGTCATTAGAGTTAATTAATTATAAATATCTAGAGATGTTTAGGTCTATTATAAAAAAAAAAAAAAAAAAAAAAAGAGGTCCTCTAAAGGTTGCCAAGTTTAGGTGTTGTCTAGAGAATTTGAAACTAAACTAGAAAAGAGAAGATAAGGCCTCCAGACTCAGTTGAGTAGCTTTCATGCCTCGGTTCAATTCAAAGAATGGTATGAACAAATTTTATTTAATAAAATCTCATTTTCCTCCTTTTGTAAACTTTAACAATTTGACTTCTTGTCTCAGCTACAATTCTAAGTTAAACAGCTTAAGTTTGAATTTTGTTGGTGGCTCAGACATTTTGAAGGTGCCAGTTTTCTGTTGTTTTCTGCAAATTTTTTTGTTTGTTTGTTATCTTTTCTTTTATTCTGAAAATGTAATTAAGTTTTAACTTTTTATTTTTATTTTTATTGAATTGACAGGCTTCTATAACAAAGAAGAACCAGTTCTATTTTCTTAGATCACATTCAAATCCATCTACCAATTAAAGTTAGTTTCTTTGGTAGTTATATGAATTCATAACAAATCATTGTAGTTTTGATAAGATATTTTACAATTATTTGTTGCAAAACTGACTGCAAGTTAGTTACTGAATGCATTCTATTATAAGTATTGTAGAAATAGATTAGCTAGTTATTAATTTATGCTGGATTAGATTATTAATTGTGTTTTTAGTTT